GCGAGCAGAGACCTGCGGCCCCCAGCCCTCCCCGGGGCTCCGGTGCCAGCCAGAGGCATCAAATATTAACAGAGGCAGCGGAGGAGCTGAAAATAACCCTCCCTCCAAGGGTGCTGACCCAGATCCTGCCAGCCCCAAAGCTGGGCTGGACCCAGAGCCCCAGCCAGCACACTGCTGGGGCTGAATCCGGCCCCTTCCCTTCTTCTAGACTGCTCTGCCCTCCTGATACCAGCTATATCGCCTATATATTATGCAAATGAGCTATAAGGGCTTATTACGCAAACGCGAGGGGGCTGGTGCTGCCTGGGGCTGGGTGGTGCCCAGGGCTGGTCCTGATGGCTCAGAGAGGACAGCGGGGATGGAGGGGGCTGCATCGGCGTCCGCGTCCACCCGGGTGTCTGGGGGCTGCCAGGGAGTGCTGCCCCATCCCTCTCCCCTCCTGTAGTGCAGAGGGACCCCCCCGAGCCCAGCCAGGCGCCTGCCCCACTGCAGCGCTCGTGCCCCAGGACAGCCGGCGTGTCCCAGCGGCATGGGAAAGCAGAACAGCAAACTGCGCCCCGAGATGCTCCAGGACCTCCGGGAAAACACCGAGTTCTCCGACCTGGAGCTGCAGGGCTGGTACAAGGGTTTCCTGAAGGACTGTCCCTCGGGCATCCTCAATGTGGAGGAGTTCAAGAAGATTTATGCCAACTTCTTCCCCTACGGCGACGCCTCCAAGTTCGCCGAGCACGTCTTCCGCACCTTCGACACCAACGGCGACGGCACCATTGACTTTCGAGAGTTCATCATTGCCCTGAGCGTCACCTCCCGCGGGAAGCTGGAGCAGAAGCTCATGTGGGCCTTCAGCATGTATGACCTGGACGGCAACGGCTACATCAGCCGGGAGGAGATGCTGGAGATCGTGCAGGTATGGGACTCCCTCTCCCTGACACGGTTCCTAGCGTGTGGTCCTGCGTGTTCACCCTGGCGTGACAGTGGCCATCCCCTCCCGGGATGCGGGTGGGCTGGAGACATGCACCCTGCGTTACCCCCAGCACAGGGCTTGACAGTGCCTGGGATGGAGCCTATTGCTGTCTGCAGAGAGCCGCTCGCTGAGCTCTGCGGCTGCAGGGATCGGTCTGCCCTGGGGCATCCCCTGGTCCTTCCCTGTCCTGGGGACAACCGTTTGTCACCCCGTCCTAGGGCTCTTCCCGTTGGCTCCACTCACCGGGCTCCTGGGGAGGGCTGGGTGCACGGCAGCCATCCCCGAGCACCCTGGGGCAGAGGGACGTGTTGTCGGCAAACTGACAGGAGATGCTCTCCTTGCCCAAACCGCAACCCGGTGGCATCGGCATCAGAAGGTGACTCGCGAGGCCACTGCGGTGACATCTCAGTGGGCATCTCCTCCCTGCAGGAGCAGCTCCAACTGCCTCCTGCAGCCGGGTTGTTTCCTTGGGGCTGCCGCTTGCATCCACCCCGGCTGCGCTGGGAGCTAAAGCTCCCCATAGCCTGATCGCATGGGGAGGCTTTTAAACGCCAGCCCCATTCCCAGCGCAGCGAAGCCTGGAGCGCTGTCCCCTGTCTTGGGTGGGCGATGGCAGGCGCCCACCTTTGCACCCACCCTCATCCCCATCTCCCACTCCCAGGCCATCTACAAAATGGTCTCCTCCGTGATGAACATGCCCGAAGATGAATCGACTCCGGAGAAAAGAACGGAAAAAATCTTCCGACAGATGGATACTAATAACGACGGTAAATGAGAGGAGATGGAGGGGATTAAGGGAAAGGTCTCATGGCTAAATCCGGGGGTCTTAGAAGGAGCCACACGCGTGCTGATTAAATGGCTTGTGTCCGCCTGGGTGGCCGGGGGGAGCCCCGGCAGCCGGAGGGGCTTGGCATGCTCCCACAGCCCGGGGAGTGGACCCCAGCGGTGCTCATCCCGTGCGGGTGGGTGTCTGCGGCGCTGGGAGATCTCCGGTCCTGTGTGTGCACCTGGGACGGGGTGGTGGCCTCCGGGCTGAGCCATGTCCTCCCCCCCCGCAGGCAAGCTCTCGCTGGAGGAATTCATCAAAGGTGCCAAGAGCGACCCGTCCATCGTGCGCCTGCTGCAGTGTGACCCCAGCGGCACCGCGCAGCTCTGAGCCCCACGGACCTCCACAGCCCCCCACGGCCC